CACCGATCAAGGCTGCTTCTACTAGATTTTTGGCATTATGCCCTAATGTCTGAGATGGCTTTCATGAGTTCTTAATTTCAATGATAAAGTTCCATTTTAGCCAAGGTAGAGCATCAGCTGATGAGATAAAGTTTTGAGAATAGCCTGCGCTCCGAACGAAGAACCTCAGAAACTAGCGTAATAACCTTGTTGCAAATAATGAAATCTTGTGAATAAACCTAGAAAATTCAGTATTACACAAGCTAAATGACCTTACCTCTTTCAAGCATCAACGTCTCCTCCCCTCAAGACATCCCCTTCCATTGGAATTCATTCAAACAAATATGACCGCTTCTTTCAACAATAATGTCGATAATTTTGATAAGCTTATGTACCTTTTCAGCGGAGATATCTATGCATGCGACTCTGAACCATTCATGAAATATAATTTTGCCCCGACCGTCTATTTACTACTGCGTAGTATCATTCAAAATTGTTGCGAAATACACGAGCTTCAGAAGCAATGTTCTGGCAACACTGAAAAATTTGAAATTTTTAGGTCCTGAGAATGACGTGGCGTCCAGTAACGCAATGAATCAGAAAGTAACACTGTATTTGACATAAGTATTTATTTCTAATTCGCAGCGCTGTATAATTGTTGGGACACAATTCGCCAACTTTTTGTTATAAAGTTTTAGTTTGGCTTGAAGAGGCGGAACTGAGCTTGAGGTTACATCTCTGCGATCCCATGCCTATGTAGACAATAGACCCCTTAATGGACTTTGAATTTTGTGAATATCTTTCTGTTAGCATTTATTCAAGAATACGCGCTGAGGTTAGTTGACATACTTGAGATTGGATGTATGCATACCTTGTTTTCTATGGTTGTTATTCATAAAGGCTGAGCAATGGTGTTTTAAAGCCTTAAGGAAGCGGGAGAAAAAATGGTCAAAAAAGCGTGGAGGGGGTTAGAAAACGCTCTTTTTGCAGTTGAATTTAAATAAGGGAAATATTAAAGAAATTCCTAATTATGTTGAATAAACGTGAAATAACCTCTAATTTCAATTAACCTGTACTTGCCTTTTTATAAGTTGAAACCCATCTCAGGTTAGGAAAGAAGGTAGAGAGGAGAAAGAGAGTCCTCCAACCGCCACTGAACTATATAGGTTGAGCCTGGCTTCTGTAAAGTCACATTTTATGAAAACATATCCTCATGCCATTCAGGTGTAACCGGCACTCCACAGTGCCCAGCGGATGCAAATGCTGGACTCAATTGTCTATTTGCACATGCTGATGCATGTAACACAAGTAGTGACTGCCTCGGACGTGAAAACACTGTAAGTCTTCAAGGAGACAAATAAGCCATGATGGACACTTTATAAATGACATATTTCAGGTGCAACCATCATGCTGTATGACAACATGTGGTTATAGAATTTGCTATCAGTACTAGGGTTTTCCGGTTGGAAATGATTTCGTTGATACTCAAAATTATTGTTTATTCTTTAGTATTTTCTAGTATGTTGCGTATGATCACCTCA